ATAAACAGACACTTATTCATTGTGGTAGAAGTTTTGACAATATCAGTAGTTTATCTGCCAGTATTCCGAAAGTTGATGATGTCAATGAAAAGAAATATTTTCTGCCTGAACGCAAGCCTTTAACCCCTACACCACTATTGCTCAAATCATACTATATGTAAGTTATATATAAAGTTTGTTTGCTTGTGTGTGGTTAACGCAGCACTCGGCAATATTCCAGCTATACGAGATGTTCTGTAAATAACCTCGTCTGGACCAGACAATCCAGTGATTGACATCCTGAGCATCGATCTACACAACTGGGATACGATGACGGCAACCAAGTCAGCGAGACTGACCACCCGATCCCGTTAGTCGCCAGCTAAGACAAGCATAGTCGCCTTTTACGTCAAGCATGGGCCTTTTCTACCCCGGATCTTTACGGGTCCGATTTTTTACAGGTCGCCGTCATAAAGCTGAGAGTGCGTCGCTAAACAACAAACAATCAACCTTTGGAGAATGAATATTGGTTATGTGACTCAATATTCACATTTGGTACAGAGTTAGGGGTTTAACGCAGCATTAAACAGTATTGTGATGTCTTATGATTATGGAAATGGTTTTGTTGTTTATATGTTAATCACTACGCATATCCATGGGTGCCTTGGATCATAACCAAGCACAAATCGTCAACAAATAATCTTTATAGATGTGTGCTGTTCAATCCAGTAACATTAAATGAAGGATGTCAGTTAAGACGAACAAGACAGCTCAGCCATTCTGTTTGTCAAGTAATAAACTTATTAGATATTCAGCACAAAAAGGGATTTTTCTGAAATCTAGAGGTATGCCATCGTAGATAGGAAACTTTTAAATTTTGATTTTGAAACCAAACGGGTTAGGTAAAAAAAAGGAATTTTGAAGATTCAACATATAATTTTTAATGTTTCATTTCTTGTCAAGCTGTTGTTACTGAAACTGAAGGTCTAAAACTAGGTCCAAATATGTATCGGGTTTTGTATGGACCAGAGATATATTTTAGCTAAATATTTTAAAACTTTTTTAAAAGTATGAGCCAAATTATATTTTTCTGAAACAAACCTCCTGGCAAAAACGAAATTATTGGGACAGACAATTTGTTTCAATAGTCGTAAGGACATTTTAAAAATATAAAATCCCAGGCCTACCCCACCCCTAGAATATCAAATGGTCGGTCCCTTACAAAAAGGTTAGTAAAACGTTACAATATATCACAAAAATAGCAAAATATTTTTCAGCCTACACCTTTGAAAAGATGCATCTCTCTTAATTGGTGACTCCGCCGTGATACTGCTTGAATACTGCTTAAAATGCCCTCTCGCATTTAGAAACAGGTGACTGTAACCTGACTTGCAATGACATGCAATATATATGCAACGGTTGTCATGGAAACTGTGTAGTAGCCACAAACAATTCATTCTTTTCAAATCTGGCATCGATAATCACAGCACCTGCTGTCATGAGATCTCCTGGAGAACGCCGTGAATAATGCGCTCGTTGCAGTTCCTTCATGCGGCTTGCTCAAAGGGTGTGAATCGTCGTATTATAAATGTGTATCTTGAACATGATTTGTTCTACAGGATAAGGTGTATGTTCCTCGGCACGAGTCAGTAAACAGAAATGTTTCCAGTTATGTCCACCAATATTTCAATTCGGAAAACCGTCTCCGTGGTCTAGTTGTAGAGCGTCCGCCCTGAGAGCGGAAGGTCCGGGGTTCGATCCCCGACCGCGTCATACCAAAAGACGTTAAAAGATGGTACTTGTTGTTACCCTGTCTGGCATTAAGGGCCTAAAACAAGGACTGGTCGGCTCGGAGTAAGTATACTGTGTCTGATTTGGGTATTCATGTTAAACTGCGGCATGGTATCTCAGTGAGCTAGCACTATAAATCGGCATCAGTCCGGACTGGTACAAGCAGCTACACAAACACACACACACACGTACATGCACGTCGCTATATATGTGCAATAATCTTGGTTAAACCCCATTTCACTTCACCGACCTCAATTCTGAAAATAACGCCTTCCATTGCATGAAAGTTAGGATATTGGAGAAAATATACCATCCATCTAATAGCTTTAAATGCAGTCGACCTTATAGGATGTCCAGAGAAAATAATTGGATTCTACTGTTGTACACAGCAATGCCATATGATGCGTAATGACAACATAAAAGCCGTTAGTAGTCTTCCTAATAAAAGCGACAAAACCCTATCCAGTATTCCTAAGAAATCCATATCAGTCCACTGCACAATTCTATGTCATTTACATGTGTTTATGAATTGCTGTGAAATAGTGATGATACCAGGTGTTCACAAAAAAGGGGAGCATATCCTGCCCCGCCGGTGGCATCCATCACAAACACAAGCAGCAAAGGCAAGTCAATTGTACACTAAAGCAACACGGGGAAGCACACACGCACGCACGCACGCACGCACGCCCGCAACAACAACAACTACAACAACACCCCAAAAAACGACAAAACACACACAAAAACACAATCATATGTATGTTTATATTTGTTAATATATTTTTATACTTCGGAACAAATCAAAATAGGGAATTGCACAGGACCTTTTGTCACTTAAACCGTGACATTTAACACGCCTCATGTGGACAAATAGCAATCCAGTCTAGAGTCCTCAGAGCGTAAAACCTAAAAACGTAAAACGGAATAAGAAGCTATTGAGAAGGTTCCAGCTGTTGTTACAGTTGTGTCGTGCTGTATCGATCAAGGTATATAGTCCATATGTTCCATAATTCCATTAACAAAACTTGATGTGAATCGATTGAATTAAATGCAAAACTATACGTCGTCCACGTCATGAACTCTGTAACAGCAGAGATGGGACATAGGGAGTGAATATCTCCTGTGTGTGACCGCCATGGACACAGAGGTTATTGCCTCCAAGCAGCAAGTGTGGTACGTTATTGCTTCCAAGAAGCAAGTGTGGTTATTGCCTCCAAAAAGCAAGTGTTGTTAATGCCTCCAAGAAGCAAGTGTGGTTATTGACTCCAAGAAGCAAGGGTAGTTATTGCCTCCAAGAAGCAGGTGTGGTTATTGCCTCCAAGAAGCAAGTGTGGGTATTGCCTCCAAGAAGCAAGTGTTGTTATTGCCTCCAAGAAGCAAGTGTGGTTATTGCCTTCAAGAAGCAAGGGTAGTTGCGGCCTCCAAGAAGCAAGTGTGGTTATTGCCTCCAAGAAGCAAATGTGGTTACTGCCCCAAAGAAGCAAGTGTGGTTATTGCCTCCAAGAAGCAAATGTGGTTATTGCCCTAAAGGAGCAAGTGTGGTTATTGCCTCCAAGAAGCAAGTGTGGTTATTGCCCTCAAGCAGCAAGTGTGGGTATTGCCTTCAAGAAGCAAGTGTGGTTATTGCCTCCAAGAAGCAAGTGTGGTTATTGCCTCCAAGAAGCAAGGGTAGTTATTGCTTTCAAGAAGCAAGTGTGGTTATTTCCTTCAAGAAGCAAGTGTGGTTATTGCCTCCAAGAAGCTACTCGTAGTTAAACCCACCAAGACGAATGTGGTAGTTATGACCTCCAGGAAGCAACTGGTAGCTGTGGTCTCCAGGAACCAAGTTGCAGCTATGTTCTCAAGGAACCAAGTGGTACTGTGATCCCCAGGACGAAGAAAGTGGTAGCAATGATGTCCTGGAACAAGGTTACAGCTATGACCTCCAGGAACCACGTGGTACTGTTATCTGCAGGGACTACGTTGTGGCTTTGATCACCAGGGACTAAGCGCTAGATATTATCTCCGGGGACAAAGTATCAGCTACAAACTCCAGGCACAAAGTTGCAGCTATGTTCCGAGGAAACAAAGTGGTACTGTTATTTCCAGGGACTTAGTTGAAGCTACAATCTGCATATAATTCCAATCCCGGATGGGAAAAGATAAAAGAAAGATAAAATAAATAAATAAAATGTTCATAACAGAAACATTATTTTTATCACAAAATGTGACAGATCAATGATCGATATTATACTAATACCATGCGACATTGTCTTCTCAACATCTCACTTACACGTAATGGACTGACGCAACCACTATTTCAAGGACAAAGTATTCCAGATCGTCTTTTGAGCTTTAGAAATACTCACGTGTGTTAAAGTAATTCAATATGTGGAACGAGGAAGGAAATAGAGTAGTCATTTCGTCAGTGCATTTATCTAGGCCATCTTCCATGTACTGGTACAGCGCGATTAAACATAGACAGACATGCTATTAACATGCACAATATTTCTGATAGATTTGATCTGAGAAATGTGTAACATTTATAACATGACAAAATCATCTTCCTCTTCATTAGGAATGATTTGTAAGCTGACATTTCCTTTAAGATGAAATGTTCAAGGGATGTGACTTACAACAAGAGCAAAACAAATCCTGAGCTTGCACTTTATCATTGTATATCCGACTGTAAACGAACATGTGGAATTTTTAAGTTCCACTAACAACTGTCCTGGATGCATGTACGAAACTAATATGGGAACTAATTTCTTTTAAAAACTAAGAAATATACGTGTGTGTTTGTAAATCGAAAAAGAAGACAGAAAGTGGATTGATGGCTATATTTGAGAAACTATACAGCCTGAGGATGTATAATCAGAAAAGGCTTGGTCAGAAGTTATGTGTTCATCAGAATAAATAAACGTTACAACGCATTAAAATGTTCCACACATATGCTCCTGAATGATGCCTATTATTACTTGGTGATTGAGTGACTACCTAGAAGTGACGGCACAACACTTCTCGGAATTCTGACCCAACCAGTGAGTTATCACAAGATATGTAATAGTTGTTTTTGTTAATATTTCGTTAAATGTACAAAATATAATGTGCGAGGAACCACACTGAGAGGGTTATCGATTCATGTGACTCAACATCCCGATCGAATCATTGCGTCAGTGAATTCATTCATACGCATCCGGGCTATACAAAAACTGACCAAGCAGGGCACACTCTATTATTAGACACCGTGACGCGAGTGTATTTTAAGTGCAGGTAAATCCTTGTATTACATCATATGTCACGTGAATTTTACAACCAGAACGTAAACAAGTGTGTGAGTTGTGTTAGTAGGATGTGCTATCCTCGAGTAGTTGTATACCGATCTCCATTACCGCCTATTGAAGTAAGTCACTATTTGCTGTGTAAATGTGTAAATAATTTGTTTCTTCCGGAGTTTAGTACCCATTGGTCTGTATGCTTACGTGACTGTTTTGTGTCGTAATATCCTGTTTTGTCAAGGTTGAATAATCAGCCTAACACTTTGCCCTGGGTCTCTACTGCACCGACCTTGACGTTAATAATATCGCACTAATTCTGACATTGTTAACCCATATATTTCAGCCGAGGTTTACAAACATCTAGTCCAAATCATTCCCCATGTATATGTGATGTCATCTTGGTATTTCATAGAAGTAAGAACACTTTTCTCGGAGATACGAATCACTAACGATTTTTACGATGGGGTGTGGTTCATTAACACTTGCTAATCATATAGCTGGAATCAGACAAAGGACTCTGCTTTTAGTAGCGATTTCTTGTGATTATGGAAATGTTTTTCTTACACACCAGTTGGTTAGAAACCCATACGAGATAACTGGTATCAAACATGTGTGTGAGATCGAATTCCAGGCCCGTGATTGGCTACTCCATGGTGATGACGGACTACTTTCCTCAGTGAAAGTCATTCATAAGTTCCGATCCGTCGCAGTGGTGACTCAGAATAACACCACTGCCACAGGCTAATTTACATATCACGTGACCGGACTTTTCTCTTGTTTGTAAACAAACGCGCTTTTTCAGAAATCAGTATAGAACGGACTAATGCAAGTATTTGGGGGCGCTAAACATATTGTTTTGCATAATTATATAAATATGCTACTACAGCTGCGACAGTGAGTTGCATGATAAAATATATTTATACAAAGTGACCGTATCGCTAGCTCTCCGTTGGGCTTCGATGACAGCACGTGGAGCCGTACAACCAATGTAAACAAAGGATAACTACGCAGAAACAAGTAGATGTTCACGTTTTAGGATACTTTCTTAAAGAACCGTAACCGTTCTTTGATATTTGTTTATGAAAATGTGTAAACTTGTCAAACATGAAACGGATGAAAAGCATATGCAATATGGACTTTGAAAGATGTGACGAATCGTCACATGGCGCTGGCCTGTGGCAGAGGTACTATGCTGGCTGGCTGCCGGCCGCAAGGAACTCTGGGTAGGAGAGTGTCATAAGTTTTATTCCACACCTAGATACCCTTGTGTGAAACCAATTTGTGGTTGTCCATCGTCATTGGGATGGAATAGGTGTTGCTAAGTCTGGGCAAAATACAACTCTATTCTTATGACCCTTTGAATGCCAATGCAAAAGCCACATGTTTCCATTTCAGATTGACACTGAGTAAATGTAATGCCACTAAGGACTGAAACCTTTAAGGAAGCGGAGGAGGAAGCGAAGGACGAGAAGACTGATTCTCATACATATATACAGTGTCTGATTCTGACAAGGAGATGCTACACATTCTTGTGTTCTTGCCATCGATTGATGCACGAATGTAGACACTAAAGTATATATAAGTTTATTGACAGTGAAACGACGAACATGATTCAACATGGAGGAAATGGAAAGAGGTTTAATTGTCAGTCCAACATCGTGACACATTTGTTTACTGTGTCTGTATAGATGATAGCTATTCTTCAGAATTTGAATTTCAAACTGACAATATGACATGTACAGTTTGTTGTTTTCTACTCATGAAAATTAGTCACGATGACACGGTGTCGTTTTACTACGCACTTCACCATGGCAGCTTTAGAAAAGGCTTTAGACAATTTGTATGATGACCTGGTGTCTAGGCTTGATCCTACGGAGTATGTTCTGGACTTCCTATATGAAAGACACTGCGTCACGGATCTTGTCTATGAACGCATTAATGAATTGAAGGACAGAGAAGAACAGTGCAAACAGTTGCTGGATGTCGTGAAAAGGAAAGAAAACATTCCTGAATTTATAGAGGCGCTGTCACATGAGAACAGCCACACGAAGCTTGCCATTAAACTGAAAGGAGAAATTAAACGGTTAGAAGGATATGGAGGACAACATAACAACGGTGGTGGTGGTGAAGGCCCAGCTAGTATACAAATGGAATGGGAAGTCAGCGCGGAAGGTGTGGTAGAGATTGACAGTGTCCCGTTAAGAGGATGTACAGAAATGGATGTCACCATGACGTCTGAGGAGAGGTTCCCCTGTGTTCAGAAGCATCCTCCAAGAACTAATATCATGACGGGGAAGCATATTACCCTCACTAATATCAATTTCAAACTGAGAATGTTGTCTAGTGACGGAAGCAGTGGTTGTCATCAGTTTGATGAGGTTGTGACGAGGATCAGATGTTCCTTTGGACATGACCCGGATATATTGTTCCACATGCTGGATGCTGAAACCGCTAGGCGGAGAGTGTTTCATTTGAATGAAGTTGACCAAACCGACACACTAGCTCTAATGTACAACCTGATCAACAACCTAACACATCCACTTGCAGGCCTGATGATGTTAAATGCACGGACAGCGTCAGTCCTGGCCATGCAAGGGTATCTGATTCCGGCTTTACAGTTGATAAGTATTACCAGGTCCCAAGCAGAGTTGATCGAACCTTGTAAAGACACTGGCGCAGTTGTGTACACTGAAACAAATCTGCTTCTTCAGTGGTACGAGATTCATCCATGTGAAACAACAAAACAACGGATCATTAACAATTGCAATGAGGCCATTGATGTCCATTTTGCTGATGCATCATATCTCATCAAAGAGGACTACACTAAAATGTTCCTATTGAAAATGGCATTTTCCTTTCTTGGGATAGGTTGTTTCCTTGGAATAGTACCTTGCCAAGTTAGTTCAGGAGACATCCAAAATGCCGAACAGTGCTTGAGACAAGTTGATACCAAGGGGCTGTACAATCGGCATTCAATGTTTCACTGTTTCGCCAAGGCAGTCATCAATTATCACAGAGATGACATCCTGACTGCATATAAATTTGCTGAAGAGGCAAAGTTGATAGCAGAGACTTGTGAGTTTAATAAAGAACTAGAATGTGTGAAAAGGTTTATGGTCCTCTTGTGTAGCAAGTACAGTGAATTGACAATGTCAAGCCTTAATGGCACACATGATAATAAGAATGGTGTAGATGGCTTTGCAATAAACTTACCGATAGTTCCACAAATTCCTCGGTCCGACCCTGGCGCTTGGAATCTACAGACACACCCGAGGAACATCACACCTGACATACAGCAAGATCTTGTGTTTCTTGAAATGACGACCAATTCAAGGATTTGAACAGATGCTGAATGTTCATGCCGACACTGTCGTACTAATATACGATGATGAAATCTTCTTCAGATTAATGTTTAAATTTCATTTTGTGTGATCTTTTGTTGCGAAAGTCTTGACTCCCCGAGCAACACATTTACGTGAAGCCGTCGAGCTAAATTCTACCATCATCAGATTGTAGTAGCAGATCTAGTATAAACGATTTGTTACAGTTTTAATTACAAATTTACAACCACAAAGTTGACAATATGCATGGTTATCAATCTGTGCCCCAATGGGTACTGGTGGCCATTGCAGCTATAACCAGGGAATAATCGGGTTATGACCTGACATCCAGTATTTCTTTCACTATACATGTATATACATTTATTTATTAAAGTTATGTTGAAGACATTTTTGAAACTGTTCTATTAGATTGAGAACTTTGGGTGTCCTTCATATTCAAAGGTAATACAGATGCAGAATACATCGCCTGAACATATACAGTTACTTAAGTGTTGATTCAATGAAAAGAAGAAAGTAGTGCTCAGGTTTAAAATTATATGTAATATCATTTTGATAATATTTTATATCATGTTTTGTTTACGTCAAGTATGTAGGTTCTGACATGCTTTACTCTTCAAGTATTCGTTCAGATGAGTTAATCATGGTGTTGTTTTAGTACAGAGCTAATTTGTTAACATTTTACTTTTTATACATTTCACATTTAGTAATATACAAACAAGTTACACTTCCCGCCAGACTGCATGTTACAAATGTATTGTGTAAGTGTAAACTTGTATGCGGGAAACTATCATAACATTCAATAAATAGATAGAGATATCATACCCTGACAGGCCAACCAGAATACAATATATAAGTAACCCTTTCAAAAGTGAAGTAGCAGTCATTGTCACTTGGGTTTTGAGTCTGACAAACATAATCCCGTGCATTTTACAGTGACGCAGATAGTCTTAAATATCCCATACAGTTTACAAACGATTTTTTTTTGCAGAAAGAGTCTTTTCGCCCATTGGAAAATGTTAACTTTTAAAGTTGAATGAAAAGTATCAGACCTATTCATGTGACTGACATCCAGCCTTTTCTTCGTTCTCACGCTTGTCATTTGTTGACTTCTGACATGATCAAATACATAGGTAGGACTAAAATCAGTGCAAAAGGCAGATGTGTGATCCAAAGGTTTTTTTCACCTCAGGTTTGATCTGAGATTTAATCTGCAAAACCTTCCTTAACAATCAGCTTGGGTCAAAGACTTTCTCATTTTCAAATATGAGAAAAAACGCTTCCTGAAAGCCCCTTTTGACACATCTTATCCTTGCCTATGCATTTAGTCTTGTGATAAATCCTAAACATAAAATTGTTGAAAGTGAACAAGGTCTAGCTCGTATTCAGATAAACACATCTGATAACTCCCATAACAATTTCAAAAGATTTTTCTCAATTTTATAGTTATGCAAACCCTGCGCGCAAAACGGGGCCCACATTCTACCTCAACCTTCGACAGCTTCATTTTAAGTTGCGTGTGTTAAGGCTATTTAAAGACCAGTTTGTATAATACTTACGGGCTGTGTCACATAATACCTTGACTGTTGCCAGAAATCAATACAACATCAGTGGAGTGTAACAGGTCAACTTGCCCTGGCTGCTCGCATCGTCCTGTCGTGTTTTCCTACTGATTCTGATATAGCTGTTCACCCCAATGTAAAAGTACATTGACATTGAGGGAGGTTTATATACCATTTTGGCAGAATACATGTAACATTTACCCTCATCCAATCTTTTGAGGCAACTGAACTATCATCTGACCGACACTTCAAACATGGCAATTAGGATATTACTATACGTCAATTGTTCACCTGAAGGTAAACTGGAACTTGTACAAGTCAAAATAGGAAATTGCATCGGGCATAATTCTTGCTACTGATGAGTCGTTAATTATTGACACAGTTTCGACTTGCCCATATATACCTTTTTTACTGCTGTAAAACATCCGCGTGGTTATAAGCCGTGCTCATTTTAAAATATTAGACAAACCTTTCCTTTGACACATTTTATCTATACCTATTTTATTACTGTTGTCATAAGTCCCAAATATGAAATAAACAAACATAAGTTCTGATTGACATGAACCCATCTGACTTTATTCACATTTTTTAACCGTTTTGTTCATCTATTAATGTATATAGATCTGTTGGCCCTGAACCTACCTCTTCCAGGGATAGGAGTATATTGAAAATCAGGACCTAAATCTGGTTGTATTGTGTGCACACACACACACACACACACACACACACACACACACACACACACACACACACACACACACACACATATATATCTATATATCTATATATATATATATGCGCGTGTGTGTGTGTTCTCTCTTCAAACTGTATCTATTTTCTCAGATCTACTTGTATATGTGTTCTGAGTGTGATGCCACGCAAAGCCCCCTCATGACCCCTAATAACACCCACGCCCACAGTTACAAGGGGGCTGCTGTAGGGGGGGTCTGGGGGTGTGGGGGTGGGAGGGGTGTGGTCGGGGGGTGTCCGGGGGCTATTGACTGGACTTGGGCAATATACCTGAGCGGACAGTTGCCAGTTACACAAACAGCTAAACCGCTTGAAATATAGAACAAATACCACAAAAACAGACGAGAGTAATGTTTACTAAATTTTTAACTTTTAGTTATTTCAATAAGTAGAAGCACTTGTGTTGGGACTAGAGATTTCACAGTTTACTGTTAATAATATAGACACTTGACATTTAAAGTACCATGATCTGATGATATGTGATCCTTATTGTGTATGGCCTTATGATTATGATTCATCACACAATAGATGCAGAACGTAAAGCAGGAAGACGGCTGTAGATCACCGTGACCTTGCTAGGACACAACGATCAATATTACATGAGACAAAAACACGCTGGTCTGGGCATACCAGTAATTCAAACCAAGTTGACTTCCCCCCTCCTCCCTAATCCCCATTTCGACCTCGGTCTAGGTGGCAAGACAAAGTCAATATGATTTGAGTAATAGTCAATATACCCATGGCCATGTCAGTTAAAACTGTAAATAAATATATTTTTCCTCGTAATTAACATAATTACACTGTATCAATTCGAGTACACGAACAGGACATTGTTAATCAACTGATGAATAAACATCCTTGTTTTCTTGTAGTGAGGGGCGGTCGGGTAGCGGTTGTGGTTAAAGCGTTCGCTCGTCACGCCGAAGACCTGGGTTCGATTCCCGACATGGGTACAATGTGTGAAGCCCATTTCTGGTGTCCCCCGCCGTGATTTTTCTGGAATATTGCTAAAAACGGCGTAAAATCAAACTCACTCACTCACTCTTGTGGTGAACATAAGTCAGAGCGCAGGGCTACGGAAGTGTAACTGTGATCCCAAACATTTCTCTGCGGAAACAAGTTTTCTCGATTTGTCGATGACGGAAATGTAAACTGAAACTCGGAAGATATATACTCTCATTGTTTATTCTTTTCATGTAAGAAATAAATTAAATGCAACATTGTTAGTGCCATCAACACAATACCGTACATTGAAAAATGTACAAAATGACGCAACATGTGTACTTTCAACAACCAATCACTAAGATGTGTACGTTTGAGTATTTGCAAGTATGCGTGCGTGCAAACGTGCGCGCCTGCTTGTGTAAATGCGATCGTTTGCACGTATATGAATGCCTGTGTGTTTTGATGTATGTTTGTTATATCAAGAGACATTGTGATGACAGTTTAGTCACAATGGCCACGAGACGACACCTAAAAGTCGATAATACTATTTTCGAATTCATGTCATCTGCCTTAGAGATACGTAAAGCACTGTTGTAATAAATCCGCTCGGAGATGTGCGTTCTAAGAAGACAATAGAATGCCATGTTTGTATCACAGTACCTTACCTGTAAAATTATAAACAGAATCAGCCCATATATGAGGCCAACACCTTTTCACATTCTTGAGGAATACTTCCTGGAGTCGGTAAGAAGCACAGTGAATTCTTCGGGCAAACATTGTATTCACAAATGTAGATTTATGATCACGCCATGTACTTTTATCATGTTTCACAGTTAGAAGATCGTATTTTTTCACTGATGCAGAACAAGGCACATGACTGAACCTGCTATGCAAGGGTACCTCGAAGGTACACATTGCATGTGTCTCCACTATATTGTGAGGGGGCGGTCGGGTAGCCTAGTGGTTAAAGCGTTCGCTCGTCACGCCGAAGACCCGGGTTCGATTGGGTTCAATGTGTGAAGCCCATTTCTGGTGTCCCCCGCCGTGATATTGTTAAAAGCGGCGTAAAATCATACTCACGCACTCACTGTGATTTGTCAACAGGGCTGGGGCAGATTATTTGATTAGAAAACATTACGGAATCACGATTTGTGAGTGAGTGAGTGAAGCTTTAAGCACTTCAATAATATTCCAGAAATGTGACAACAGGGGAAATGATTGTACCAATATGGGGAGCGAATGCTGTAACCGCTAGTCTACCCAAGCATCTCAGAATTACAATGACTCTCCCACGTTTCCATATCTTCTTCCTCCCTAACGTCATCATAACTAGCATCCATGGTGTTGTCATGGTCATCTGTGTTTGGCATCAGTGCGTTACAAGACACGAGATTCGCTGGCTGAATTGATGCACTTTCAGGCTTTGGACTCGTCTCTTGAGTGATGGAATAAATATGTCGAAAAACATCTTCTATTTCACAGAGTTCCTTTCCAAAATTGTTTTTGTCTGATAGTCGACGAGCAATATTGGCATGCTTTAGTGCTTGTGAAGAAAATTCACCAGTCCTCTGAGGACAGTGAAGCTCCTTGTAGTAGCAAACTGCAGCTTTAGCCAAGTTATACAACATGATGCGCCTGTCGTCAAAGACACCACCCGATTCAATCCTTTCCAGACAATCTTCGGCAGATTTAACGTCATCCTCTGTAACACCGGCGTTAAAAAGACGTCCATACACACCAACGCCAAGATAACAACAAGCAAGTTTTTGATAAAATATTCGACAGAATTCATCTCTTATATCTTGTGGACACTGTGGGAAATGTTCTACAATTGCTTCTCTGATGCTGTCGATGAGCATCTCCCGGCGTTTCCGAGATGGTATATGTTCGTATAACTGGATGAGGATGTTGACGTACACAAACATGACTCTTGCCGTATCCGCACAAGGTTGAATAAACCCCATCTTCTTTCTTGCTTCTTCTACAATATCCAAAGCTTTCATTACATTCAATAAATCTCCTTCCATTGAAACAATCGCAGCCTTTCGAGCCAAAAATATCATCGAACCTGCCTCTGAATGTGTCAGGGTTGCAACTAATGTTTCCATTTCTTTCAATTTGCTCCATTGTTCA